TCTTTATTGGGAAAGAAATGCTTCGCGCTACGAATTGGTTCGACAATAGCCAGAAAGGAGGGCTGGCTCGCCGAACATATGCTTGTATGTTCTTTCTTATCTTTTAAATATATAAATATACTAGAATAGATCAAAAAGTAAGGTTTCCTATTTTATTACGATTTTTATTTACTACTTATCATAATAGATTAACCATTAACATAAATTGGATTTGTTGTGTTAAAATATAAACTAATAGTTATTTTTCAATATATATATATACATATATATAACAAAGTCAATGATATTCGCTGACATTATATATAAAACTGAATTTTAGCCGATTAAATTACTTACATTTCGCATTTGGTTGCATCTTTGATTGCAGCTTGATTGCATAACTGATATGCCAAGTTAACAATATGTGTGTCTCATATCCGATGTCATGAGTATGCAAAAATGTACGCTTTAAATATTGATTGCTTTTAACTCTTGCTGTAATTTTAAAAAATCACTCATGCGTCTTTTGGAATAAAAAACAGCCAGGAAACTTTTTAATGACAATAAACAAATTTCAGATATAATATAAATTATAAAAGAGCAATTATTATATCACCTTTTTGCTGAAATTTAACACAAATCAATTATTTAATTGAGATGAAAAAACAAAGCTTCCTCTATGAGGAAGCAAAAAGCTTCGTTTATAGATAATATATTTTAATACTTTTGATAGAACAGTTATCCGCTACGTTATTCATTTATACGCGCGACATGTCAGTATACGTTTAATGTCAGTATACGTTTAATGTTTTAATAACAGGATTCAAAATCGAGAAATCGGTGTCCCAATCTCTGAATATCCCCATAATGTGAGCTTGAAGCCTGTCGGCGACTCACGTGCCTCGCGAACCGGTGGAAAAAAAAGGTGCAAAACGAAACCCGTTGTACGTGTAATATCTCGGCCGCTTACGTTAGTGGGCCGATGGGAGTCCGGAACAGCTTCGGCAGATGAGACACATTGGAAGCTGGGTTACTGGGTACCGACAACATGATATCATCGCATCAAGTCAAACAGGTATTGAATTGCCCTTTTCATTAAGCCCGAGCTAAAAACGAACCAAAGATGACAAAGAGAAAATTATCTGGAACCGGGTTATTGAGAGAAAAAACAAACGATATTTATGATTAACTTTAACGAGAATCTCTATAATTGATTAATTTAAAAATGTATAGATTCAACCTTGATTACAATACATTTATCCGTTAAATAAATGTAGTATTTATAGATAACAAGCACGTAATGAGTAACAATTAAAAAATTAGAAAAAAATTATTGTATCACTCTTAAATTTTAATGTTTGTGTATTATTATTTATTCTCTTAATGTTTGTTAATTTATTAATATTTTATAATATATATATATATATATATATATATATATATATATTAACTTTTATTTTAACACAATAAATCTAATTTGTGCATGAGTTGTAAATAAAAATTATAATAAAACAGGGAACCTTACTTTTTTTAATCCACCCTATAGTATATACAACGAGCAATACAGCAAACACTGTTTATTGCAATAATATAACGTGGAAGTAACAAATAACATAAAGTATCCCTTCCCCTATATAATATAAAACTGTAATATACCATACATATTATTTTGCAATATTACAACAGTAATATAACAGAATATTATTGCAATATAATATTGTTATATATATGTTCCTTATCGCTTGCCGCTATGCGGCGTCTATAACGGACTTAATTAACTCATATTCAAGTTTTTGCCATGAAATACATATGAAGCCTGCACAAGACTAACATACGATCTAAAGTATATTTCTTCTTTGTCAGTTTAATTTCTGATACAATCCCAACAAGGGATTTAAGATATTAAATAGATTATTTGAAATTGGGTGGATAAATAATGTAAAGTAGGGAAATAGTCTATTTACTGTCTATTTGAAGCAAAAACTCGAAATTTTTATATAAATTAAATCCCAAATTTTATAAATTAAATACATATAATTTATTTTTTTTTAAATTTATTTAATTATCAATTCTATAACCAATTCTATACCCATTCTATACATACTAATTCTATATGCAGTATAACTAGGATGTAACAACGATACAACATATATTATCTTATTATGTTATATTTATGAATGGGAAAATACAATTAACCCAGTAACTTACCGGTAATACTTAGGTATATTAATTGTAACATTCCTCCCCCCCACCTCCCCTTGTTTTATTGCTTTCATATAACATTAATATAACAGTGTTTACTGGGAAAATAGTATTTGCATATTTGATTACAGATATTAGGTATCACAAATCCTAAGGGCAAGAAACGATACATCGCCGCTGCTTTCCCGAGCGCATGCGGTAAAACGAATCTGGCTATGATGCAACCTAGTCTACCGGGTTATAAGATTGAATGTGTAGGGGATGACATTGCATGGATGAGATTCGATAATAAAGGAAATTTACGCGCCATTAATCCAGAGAACGGATTTTTTGGGGTCGCTCCTGGTACAAGCTCGACTACGAATCCCAATGCGATGAAGACTATCTTCAAAAATACCATCTTCACCAATGTAGCGTCTACTAGTGATGGAGGAGTGTATTGGGAAGGAATGGAGAAGGAAATCGATGATAATACCAAGGTATAAATAAGGAAACAATATACATAAAAAATTGTTTTTTTAAAAATGCAAAAAACAAATTTTTTATTTTATCGTAGGTGATGGATTGGAGAGGTAACAATTGGTTCAAAGGTTCCAAAGAACCAGCTGCTCATCCAAATTCAAGATTCTGCACTCCGGCTATACAATGTCCAATTATCGATCCTTCTTGGGAAGATCCAGCTGGCGTTCCGATCGATGCTATACTATTTGGGGGCCGAAGACCAGAAGGTGTACCTTTGGTTTATCAAGCCCGAAATTGGCAGCACGGCGTTTTTATCGGTGCTACAATGAGATCTGAGGCTACAGCCGCCGCTGAACATAAGGTATTGTTCACACACTCTGATCAACTTTTATAAAAATGCTAACTATATGTAAATTTTAAAATACATTTCAAGATGGAAAGTTATGAAAGACTAATTGAGAATTCAACTAAAGTTAAAATATATTTTGCAGGGTAAAATAATCATGCACGATCCGTTTGCCATGAGACCCTTCTTTGGTTATAATTTTGGACACTATCTCGCCCACTGGTTAAGCATGGAGCATGTGGAGCATGCTAAGCTACCAGCGATATTTCACGTAAATTGGTTTAGAAAAGATTTGGACGGAAAATTTTTATGGCCAGGATTCGGTGAGAACTCTCGCGTTCTCGACTGGATCCTTCGAAGGATCGACGGCGAAGACATTGCCGAAGAATCAGCTATTGGCTTATTGCCAAAACCAGGATCTATCAATTTGGAAAATCTCAACGATAACGTAAATATGACGGAATTGCTTAGACTTCCAAAAAATTTCTGGCGGAAAGAGGTCGAAGATTTAAGAGAATACTTTGATGCTCAAGTGGGAAGCGATTTACCTGACGCTATAGCAATGGAGCTAACTCGGTTTTAAAATACATTTCAAGATGGAAAGTTATGAAAGACTAATTGAGAATTCAACTAAAGTTAAAATATATTTTGCAGGGTAAAATAATCATGCACGATCCGTTTGCCATGAGACCCTTCTTTGGTTATAATTTTGGACACTATCTCGCCCACTGGTTAAGCATGGAGCATGTGGAGCATGCTAAGCTACCAGCGATATTTCACGTAAATTGGTTTAGAAAAGATTTGGACGGAAAATTTTTATGGCCAGGATTCGGTGAGAACTCTCGCGTTCTCGACTGGATCCTTCGAAGGATCGACGGCGAAGACATTGCCGAAGAATCAGCTATTGGCTTATTGCCAAAACCAGGATCTATCAATTTGGAAAATCTCAACGATAACGTAAATATGACGGAATTGCTTAGACTTCCAAAAAATTTCTGGCGGAAAGAGGTCGAAGATTTAAGAGAATACTTTGATGCTCAAGTGGGAAGCGATTTACCTGACGCTATAGCAATGGAGCTAACTCGTCTCACTGATAATATTAATAATCTTTAAATTCTTAATTTGATAATTATATTTTGATCTATAATTATATTCTTCAAATATTCGTAATTTTAATATCAAATTACGAAGTTAATATAAAATTAGTAAATTTTTAAGAATAGTAAATTTGAAATAATGATTTTTTTTATTGATATAATAATGGTACAAATGTGAAAAATGTAAGAAATCCTGCTTAATGTAAAACGTTGTATAATAAGATGCAGAAAAAGTAAGTAATATTAATTTTGCGTTAGAGAGAGAAAGAGGATTGTAATTGTTTATGTTTATAGAACAGAAAAAATCAAACATGTTTTTTTAATTTCTAATGTTACAATTTTAATGTCTTAATAATTAAGTTTTAATCGTGTATTAAAATAAATTAATATTTTTTTTATTTTTCTATATAAAACAAAGAAAAAAGATATTTTTAAGAAAATGTATGACAGACATTATTTTGTAATAATCAAAAAATATGGAGGAATTATGACTCCTAATAATTTAAACTTATGAAAAAGAAACTTATTTAACTTATCTCAAATATATTTATAAGTTTATGTTTTACATGTTTATATTTGAGTTTTTATTGTGTCGAGCAGTATTACTCTGTGTCACAGTTGCAATATTTCGTATTCAGCACAGTATTAGGGCTTGGACACAATAAGCAGAATAAGGAATACGGAATTAAATATAAAGTATTGTAAGGAATTAACCCATATTAGACTATCCATTGAAGATTGAAATTTGATTAACGAAGAAATTTTAGTATTATTTTGTTTTTTTTTGTTGTTTTGATTAAAATTAAATTCCAATCTTTAAACTTTATATGTATAGTCTGATACAGGCTTAACTTTTTATTTTAGTTTTATATTCCTTATTCTGCTTATTATATGAATTCTAACACTGTATCATCTGTATAACTTGCTGAAAAACACCTATACTATAACTTACTGTGTGTACTCTACATATTTATATTTATAGATTGGCAGAATCAAAAAAGGATGTAGCTAATCAGTATTATATTCAAAAACAATATAAAAAGGCATTGATTGGTTACAATGAAATTATTGGTAAATATTTTAAAATATTATATACTGTCTATTTTTTTAAACAATAAAGGATAATTTAATAAAATATAAAATGTAGTTATTTTAATAATTTTACGGCTATTATTTTTATAAATAATAATAATGATTGTAAAATATTTCAGCAATGTGTCCTAATGTATTGCGTTACTATAGCAATAGAGCAGCATGTTACATGATGCTTGGACAATATCGAGATGCATTAACAGATGCTAAAAAATGTATCGAATTAGAACCAACATATTCCAAAGTATGTTGATGATTTTATCCGCTGATTATTGTATTTATTGTATTATATGTTTACTTTCTGACAATATTTATTTTTAGGCATACATAAGAATGATCAAATGTTACTTGATCATGGGTGAGCTTGTAGAAGTTGAAACCATATTAAAAAAACTTCTAGAGTTTGATCCTAATAATGAATCAATAGCTGCAGAGCAAAGAGACTTAGCATATGTACACAAATTTCTTAAAGATGCTGATGCTGCTTATAATGTTAAGGATTATCGCAAGGTAAAGAATTTATTACATATTTTTTTATTAGCATTCCACTGAGATTACATAATTATTGAATTAAATCCTTTGTAGGTCGTATATTGTATGGATCGTTGTTGTGACATAAGCACATCTAGCACACGTTTTAAGCTAACCAAAGCAGAGTGTCTAGCTCTTTTAGGAAGATACCAAGAAGCTCAGGATATTGCAAAGTAAGTTGCTTTATTAAATTTAAAGTTGTATAAAACATAATATGTATAAAACATGCATTCATAAATCTGTATAAATTTTATCCTGCCTCAGTGATACCTTACACATTGATAAGCAAAATGCTGATGCGATATATATCCGCGGAATGTGCTTATATTTCCAAGATGATATTGATAGAGCTTTTACACATTTTCAACAAGTACTGCGACTTGCACCAGACCATGCCAGAGCTTTAGAAATATACAAGGTAGATAGAAAAAAAAGTTCTGATTTATATTAAGTAGACACATCTTTTCCATACATTTTTTAATTTTGTTAGAGAGCAAAATGTTTAAAAAAGAAAAAAGAAGAAGGCAATGCAGCATTTAAAAGGGAGCAATATCAAGAAGCATATAATCTTTATAACGAAGCATTAACTATTGATCCACACAATATTATGACTAATGCTAAATTACATTTCAACAAAGCAACAGTAGCAGCTAAGGTATTGCATTGAACATGCAATTTGCACTTTCAAAATTAATATATTTATATAAATATTATCTCTATATAGTACAATTATTTATATATGTGAATTTTCAAAAGCTGCAGTATTATGGTACATGGAATATATGAAAAAACTATTCATTTGACATTTATTTTATTTGTTTTTAGTTAGGGAGATTGAATGAGTCTATAGCAGAATGTACTCATGCCCTAATACTTAATGAAAATTATTTGAAAGCTCTTATCAAAAGAGCAACCATTTATATGGAAGTTGAAGAATATGAAGAAGCAGTCCGAGATCTCGAACAAGCATGTAAAATGGATAAGAATAATCGTGGTACGAATTTTATTTACTAACTATAATGTATATAATATTAGTGAAAATATTTACAGGAATAATGTGCGCAGAAAATTAATGAGCATAATGTCTACATATATATTATTCTCCGTAGTGTTTTAAAGCATTGAATCTTAATGTTAAATTCTTTGGCCAATTTGAAATATTTTTCTTAGCAAAAGTGTGAAAAGAAATCATTTGCTATTTCCAAGTTTTTGGATCATATTTCTAAAAATCTTAAATTAATATTCTATTAAATTAAACTGAAATTATTAATTTAATAATATAGTTTTGCTATTCATTTAGCTTTCAAAAGTATAGTTTCCAAAAAGTCCTTTTTTAAGTTCTTATAATTCAAAAGTTATTGATAGCTCAATATATTTTTGCTTTAAAAAAATTTATTTCAAGTTGATAAAAAATTTGTTATTAAAAGAATATCTAATTTTGAGACACTGTTTTATAATTTTTGTAGAAACCAAACGATTACTTGCAAAAGCAAAATTACTGCTAAGAAAGTCCAAGAGGAAAGATTATTACAAAATTCTAGGTATTGATAAAAATGCATCAACTGAAGATATCAAAAAAGCATATAGGAAACGAGCTCTAGATCACCATCCAGGTAAAAAACAAAAATAACTGTTTGTTACATAACTAATTGTAATTATGTGTTCTTATTATATTTATTTTATAGATCGTCATGCCAATGCCAGTGAAGGGGAAAAAAGAGAACAAGAAAAAAAATTTAAAGAAGTTGGAGAAGCTTATGGAATTCTCTCAGATCCCAAAAAACGATCTCGTTATGATCGTGGCCATGATCTAGATGATAATGAGAGCAGTTTTCAAGGTTAATATTCCTATTTGCTAATATGCTAGTAATTATAATCTTGTATATTTTATGCTTTTTTTATTATGTTATTTTGTATATTGTATAATACTTTTCTTTATTCCCAGATATGGATCCCAATGCTATGTTCCACTTTTTCTGTCAAGATGGAGGAGGTTTTCAATTTCAGTTTCAGGATGGCTTTCCTGGTAGTTTCCAATTTCAATTTCCAGGTTAAGAATATTTCCCGAAAAGCATAATACATTACATCTCAATATAGCTGTGTATATGATATTTGAATCTATTTTAGTAAATACTGCATCGAATTTTTTAAATATTTACATCGACGATGCAATATGATGTAGTTATTTGCGTTTCGTAATCTTGAAATAGGCATTCATCCGCGCAATTATATGCAGTTACATAAGTAATTTATTTAAGCATGACTATACTATTGTAAATATTACATTTACAATCCTGTTATATTATATAGGATAAATCTTCGTTTTAATGCATTAATTAAGAATGTTAAGGTTAAGGTTAACGTCAAAGTGCAAGCAGGCAGTTTGGAGACCTGAAACATGCTGGTACCTGACGAAACCTTTTTGAATTATATTTTTTAATTCAAATCTTAAATAACTATTTGTTGTCTCATTAAGTTCAACATATTATTTAATATTTAATATATTGAAAAAGATGACAACTTTAACTTTTATTTACATTTTGGTATTAATTACCGGAACTGTGTTTAAAAGTTCGTAAAACCGAAGATTTACTATAATTTCACTAATTATTGAAAAATATGTTTGATGTACAGTCAAATCTCTTTCTTTTGGAATCGTTGAGACCGAGCGCATTTTTTTCCTTTTTATTTTAGATTCTCGTTTTAATTCCTATTCTTACTTGTAATATATAAAGGGATAAAACTTAAAATTTACAGAAAATCTATTCTCTGAAATAGAGAGATTTGGCTATATTAACAAAATTTAGTTTTTCCTTAATTTTATGCCTAGTTATAAATTCATTGCTACGACTCAGAGCAAAATGATTGTAAGAATATTGATTAAAACAATGCAAACTTAAATATTTGTATATTGGAAAATTCTTTGACTATATACACTTGTATTGCTAGCATCTCTTACTTTTTCGATATATATGGATACGCATTTAATATAACCAGAGAGAGGCCACGCCGCCGTTTTTTGAAAGACGCTTTTTCTAACTCGTACAGTATCGACAACTAGATCTATTTTAGAACCGGCGGAACTACTTGGCGAGATTCATTTTTCAATGCTATGGTAAAACAGTTGATTGGTGTATGTCCGTGCTAAATACATAATTGTGGATCAGAAATGCGAAGAAGCATTACGGATTTATTAATGTTTTATTAGTTGCGCTGATGTTTTATTATTTTAGTATATACTAAAATAGGCATTCATCCGCGCAATTATATGCAGTTACATAAGTAATTTATTTAAGCATGACTATACTATTGTAAATATTACATTTACAATCCTGTTATATTATATAGGATAAATCTTCGTTTTAATGCATTAATTAAGAATGTTAAGGTTAAGGTTAACGTCAAAGTGCAAGCAGGCAGTTTGGAGACCTGAAACATGCTGGTACCTGACGAAACCTTTTTGAATTATATTTTTTAATTCAAATCTTAAATAACTATTTGTTGTCTCATTAAGTTCAACATATTATTTAATATTTAATATATTGAAAAAGATGACAACTTTAACTTTTATTTACATTTTGGTATTAATTACCGGAACTGTGTTTAAAAGTTCGTAAAACCGAAGATTTACTATAATTTCACTAATTATTGAAAAATATGTTTGATGTACAGTCAAATCTCTTTCTTTTGGAATCGTTGAGACCGAGCGCATTTTTTTCCTTTTTATTTTAGATTCTCGTTTTAATTCCTATTCTTACTTGTAATATATAAAGGGATAAAACTTAAAATTTACAGAAAATCTATTCTCTGAAATAGAGAGATTTGGCTATATTAACAAAATTTAGTTTTTCCTTAATTTTATGCCTAGTTATAAATTCATTGCTACGACTCAGAGCAAAATGATTGTAAGAATATTGATTAAAACAATGCAAACTTAAATATTTGTATATTGGAAAATTCTTTGACTATATACACTTGTATTGCTAGCATCTCTTACTTTTTCGATATATATGGATACGCATTTAATATAACCAGAGAGAGGCCACGCCGCCGTTTTTTGAAAGACGCTTTTTCTAACTCGTACAGTATCGACAACTAGATCTATTTTAGAACCGGCGGAACTACTTGGCGAGATTCATTTTTCAATGCTATGGTAAAACAGTTGATTGGTGTATGTCCGTGCTAAATACATAATTGTGGATCAGAAATGCGAAGAAGCATTACGGATTTATTAATGTTTTATTAGTTGCGCTGATGTTTTATTATTTTAGTATATACTACAGCGATAATAAATTATAATTGAAGTATTTTTATGTATATGCGCAAGTAAAATGAGAGAAATAAATTTTCTTAAATTTTTTAATTTTAATAATTCTTAATAATTCTTTTCCTAGTTTTTAAATATAGTGTGTGTGTATAGAAGATATTTACAATAAATTGCTTTCACTTTTTTCTTATTCTTGAAACAAAAATATTAAGCATTTTAGGTATTATCAAATCATGGTTTTAATTTATATAGCTTTTTATTATTTACAAATTTATATAAGCATAATTAATTATATTTTCCTATAGTTTTAACCGTGTTCTATTGTTTTTAAGGAATTTTAATTGTTGACAGCGTTAATTATTTTTTTTTCCACGTTTATATGGTCGCCAGTGATACTATCAGATGTCAGATTTTCGCAAAATGTCATAAAATCTTAAAAATTCGCGATATCTTGTGCAATATTGTTTTTTTTAGCATATAAAATGTTAATAGTGTTGTTTCTATCTTGTGGAATTCTACTCAGAATTGTAATTAAAAGACCGAAAATGCGAAAATAATACTTTTCTCGGAAGATTTAGATATGTATTTATACGATATTAATTAAAAACAATTAAAGCTCCTTTTTCTCTATTATTGTCTTTTTCACTTTCATTTTATTTAAAAATATCAATATAAAAAATATAACTACAGTATCTCTCTTAGTCTGACTCTTCCCCTTCGACCTGTCAGGCATGGGTGACCCTACCGGTAACTTATTAGCGTTTTTGAGTGAAGCAAGTTTAATCGTTTTGAGAGCGATGAAACCCAGTTTACGATGAATATATGTTTGATTAAAAATAGATTTTGAGAGAATCTTAGAAGATTAGTATAAATAATATAAAGTAAATTTTTGTCTTTAAAGTACAAGATTCTTTACCCTGATTAATCAATCAAACAATTACTCAAATATTCTCAACTATTTCATTGATTAATCTATATAATAATTCAAGTATCCCTATAATAACCCAAGACGGAGTATATGATGTTATTAATCGGTCTTATTGGATGCGTTCAGGAGACACAACCGTTGAGTAGCAATCGAACGTGATTGATTCTTACTTCTAGAACCAACAAATCAATGTCGAGTGTTGACAAGACGATGCTCAACAGTTGTGTTTCCTGAATATTATTTACATTCCGCGCCCATTGTTAGAACGATCAAACTTGCTTCATTCGAAAACGCTATACGTTATAAATAATTTATTACACGAAAATGTCCGAAATATTCATATAATGCATTCACTAGAAATTTTTATATCAGATATAGCTTATAAGCAACGATTAATCCGATATTTATGATTAATGATCAACATGCAATTACAAAGTTTATAAGTTTATATAATTATTAAGTTTTATATAATGCAAAAGAGTATGACCAAAAGAATCGTTAATAAAAAGTTATCGATCGTTTTTCAATTAAAAAGAAAAAAGTACTTATTGTTAAACTACTGGTGCGTAGAATTTCAAAGAAATTTTGCGTAGAATTTAAAAAAAATATCCGAGAAAAGATAGACAAAGCTTCGATGTAAATCTACGATTAAATCACAGGAAAAACCGCGATTTAGAATTTGCGAAAGCCTCCGTTAAGGTGGAGATACCATCGAGGAGGAAAAATTTTTATTTTAATTTTTTTTTGTAAATACATAGGTTTCTTTTCATAAACAGGTTTTACAAATTGTCAAATAAAAAATATAATACACGAAGAGAATTATAAAAAATGTATATAATGTATAATTAAAAATTATATAATGTACAACTACAAAATATATTACAAAAAATTATAAAATGTATTATACAAAGTAAAACCGCGATTTAAAATTTGCGAAAAAATGTGACAAATAAATAAATTGAGGATAATTACTCGATTTCAATGTATATGTAATTTTAGAACAATCGGAGGAACGATATAATTATTATATACTTAAACGAAAATGTTTCAACATTTGGAGCGCTTTTTATAATTGCGTCTGTAATATAATATATTTGTGAATATAAAATCTAATGCCCGATTAATTTTCAAATGCGTGATTTTATGAAAATTTCGCGATTGAGAATAAAATATATGCACCGTTTCGCGGAGGATTAGCTAAACAGGATAAAATCTTATAAATCTTAAGATACCGTTACAAAAAAAATGCGTTATCGCCGCGTTCAGTAAAGGATAACTGGCCCAACAATTTGACCAGATCAAGGTCCCTCCGCCAGATAACACGCCGGTTAATATCCGACAAAGACAAGAACAATCCTAAAGATGGAGAACGATCAACTTCTTGCTTCTACATCGGACCCCGCAAGATCAATCCGCAAAGAAAAGTTAAGTGATCTGTTGAATATCAGGGGCCTCGCTGTAGGAGGGAACAAATTCCGGATCTTCCGGATTATTCCTAATAGCAATGATTTCGGTAACAAATCAACGACAGTTACCATTGTCATTATCTTTAATTCACGAGATTGAAATTTATGCAAGAAAATGTGTTCTTTTATTATTAAGAAATATATCTCTTTATTGAAAATTAAATGGATATAACGATTTTTATGAAAATTTCTCGGATACCAACTGTTCGAGACGTATCGAACTCGATAACAGCAAAATTTAAAAGAATTTAATTTAAATACTTTGCAACAAAATAAATCAAAATAATATCAAGCATAATTATAATAATTCTAAGCTGTATATATAATTAATCTTTTTCTATAGAATTTAAATACATTAATTTGCCGATATTTCACTGATATCGGGGTACCCATTCGATTTGTCTCGAAGTTTTAAAGTATACGCACATTTTATGTTATATTCATACATAATATTTTGTAACATAATATTCAAAAAAAAGTATAAAAGTTTTTTGAAATAGTATATTAATTTGCGCATGTATTTTATTAAATCTATAGAATGGTATATTTAAAAACTATCCAAGATTCTCCTAAAATGGCGGGATGTCCAATACCTGCAAATGATTTCTTAAAAGAAACCAAAACCTAATGTTAATATCCTCAGCGCCTAGAAATGATTTCTAAAGAAAAACACAAAAAATAATAAATAAAATACATTCGTTCGTAACCATAATTTTTGTATCCAAGAAGTCAATAGAAAAGGCAAATTGATCGCAATTTGAAATTGCTTGAAAAATGGAAACTTATCTATACACAGTAGTTATATTCATGTTTAATGTACTATTAAGTTTTTAGCATTAACACAAAAATAATACAAATTAATAATGATAAAAGAACACTTTTAACGAAAAGAAAGAAATATATCTTTCCTTCAAATATTATATTAAAATTAATTTCCTGATTCAACTTCGAAAAGGCGTGCGGCAGACGTCGTTGAGTTACTACCGAAACCATTGCTTTCAGAAATCGCCAGGAAAACCTGAATTTAATTCCAATCCTGCAACGAACATCCCCAATTTTCAACAGAACACCGAACTAGACATCGTGGATGGATCTTACAAGAACCGACAAGAAATAATTCTCCACGATGAAGATTGTTTCGACTCTTCGCCGGTATGAACCACGCAACTTTACTAACGTTTATCTGACGAGAGGGACAGCGATAAGGCCCCTTAGCTAAGACAGCGATCGCGTCCAAGAACGTGAAAAGAACGCGGTGATTTCGCAATGTAGCTAATTGATTAATTTAATAAATATTTAATTCCGACACAAAATTCATGAATATCTATCAAATCAAAACTAAATCATGAAATTCGGAATAATTTACTCGCGATTCTGCAATGTCGAAGACAGTCATCAAATTTCGTGAAAGAAAAGCTAATATTTAATTGTTAGCTTAACATCAAACCTTCAACTCACACTCTTGTTCAATAATTTTTCTATTAAATATTAGAAGAATTAGTAATATTCGTGATAGTAAACAAATTTGAAATAAAATTTCCCGAATTTATCAATTGTATTACATTTTATTTTGTACATAATAAATATATATGCAATTTTGGATTTATTAACAAAACTGTAGCATATGTCATTTTTGAAATTAATTCTAATTTATTTTATTTATATTTTCTTCTTATGTTTAGCTCTTTAATATCCTAATAATCTTAGCATTTTTTAAATTCCTGGTAAGCATTTCATTTCTTAAGATAATCCTAATAATCCTAATAATCCTATTTTTGTTGGCTAAGCCAGCGGGAATCTGTGATCACCTAAGATTGGAGAATGTGTCCTACCTCACGTACCCTATTCGCGTGTCCTACTCGCGTGTCCTAATAGAATGCACCGGTAGCATTCTTCGTTATATGCCATTGCACATAGAAACGCGCAAACACTTGTATTGTCTAACATGTGTATTATTTGCGCCTTTTGACCACGATATTGGTCAATCATGATGCTTCCGTTGGGCCAGATGGACCTACCTTTCGTTGATCCTGGCCATATTCATTCTGACTACATCTAGCCAGAAATGTAGCTTCGACTTCTATCGGAAGTCAATGAAGGAGAAATTCCTTCTATTGCCAGCTAATTATTATCGCCGGTGCTTGAGCGTAATTTTACGCTCGTTTACGGTCGTGAAACCTTTTGTCATGCATTGTTTTAATATAATTTTACTTAAATTAATATAATGCCAAATTATCAATCAAAATTGATTGAAATTCTTACAATAATATATAGTATT